CTCCAGCCCCTGTTGCAGACACTTGCCCCAGTCCTACACCAACATCTCTAGATGATGCAGAGGTGCTCAGAAAACCTGCCCTGCTCCTATACAGCTGCCACCGTAGAGGTGGGGGGACAAGTTCAGTTCACAGCCACGGCGGTACGCTGATGGCGTCCCCAGGGCTGGTGGATCTCACCTGGTCCCATCCATGCTGTTTTCTTCCCCCCTTCCTCATGCTCCCTGGGCCTGAATCAGCCCTGGAGAAGCCAAAGGAGCTACAAAAGATGGGAGGGAAGGGAAGGGGCAGTACCACTCCCCACCAAGCCTGTTACTAAGCTAATATCCAGCAGCTGAAGTCATCTGGGGCTGCTGGAAATCTCTGGTCCTTCTCCAGGTAGGGTCTCCAGACTCCCACTACCCCCCTCAGGATAAGCCACCAGCAATGTTAGCAGGGCATTGTGCAAAGGAGGAGATGCTGTGTCTTACCGGTCCATATGCCCCATAAAGCCAGTGTGTACTGGTTGAACTGGTCCAGGATGGAAGATCACCTCCACGATGCTCCTGAAGAACCCGCAGGCAGCCATGCCCTGAGCGAGCCCCTCGCAGGGGCTGATGCTGGATGGAGAAAGGGAATCAGAGGATCAGGGGAGACAAAAGGATGATAGCAGGGACGGGACGGGACAGGGAAGGACAGAGACATCGATGCCTGTGGGTGCTGACAGCCCCAATGCCTATTGCTTTAGCTCTCTGCAACCCCCAACCTCAGAGAGACCCCAAAGCCCACCCCAAGAAAGGAAACAGAGGCAGAGAAGAGACTTGGTGAGAAGAGATTTGGTAAGAAGAGACTTTTAATCGGACTCCATTACAGCTGTTACAGGATTTCTCTCGACTGCCGAGGAGTCCGGCCGGCACAGCACGCGTGGTAAATACACCGGCTACGAGGATACATGGGACGAGTTACTACGAGATCTGTGCTTTTACCTGTACAGGAGGGTTTCGCCAGCATTGTGCTTGCCCGCAGGGGAAGCAGCCACATCCCGTGTGCTGCCATGGCTCTGCCCGGGCTGTGCCGTGTGTGTGTGTCCCAGCCACCAAGGCCACCCAGCTCTGTTCCCCACTCCTGCCAGTGAGACCCAGGCTCAGGGAAGGATGGGGGACAGGAGGAAGGCAGTGGGAGTTGCTCCAGGGAGGTGCTGGGGTTTAACGTGACCTGCTGGGGTCTGGGTAGGGGCCAGGAGGTGACGCAGGGGCTCTTTGGGAGGGATTGAGGGGAAGGGGCCAAGGGACACCCGGGGACGGTGCAAATCAGCAGTGTACAGCTGGCTCCAGCCATCCCCTCTGCTTTGCACCAGGATCAAGGGCAGATCCAGCCCTCAACCCACAGCACTGGCCACACAACCCGATGCTCAGGGACAGAATGTCCCAGCTCCAGCCCTACGGGGACCACGTGCACCCTTGGACCTGCAGCACCGCCGTCACAGGGCGGGCACCCTCCTGCAAAGCTCCTTTCTGCCCTCAGCACCAGCCATCCCCTCACCAGACCCATTTAAGCCCTCCCCAGCTCTGTCCCCAGAGAGGGGACAGGGTTTTGGCCCCTCCTGATCTACTCAGCACCTCCTTGTCCCCCAGCCAGGGACACCATCCTGCTCCAAGCAGCAGGATCCAGGCTGGGAACCGAGTGGGGAGCTGATGTGGGGGGACAGGAATATTGGCAGCAGTTCCCCCCTCCTTCTCCCAGCGCCTGGAGGAAAACTGAAAAGTGCCTGTGCTCACAACTAGCAGCTATTCCCTGTGCCTCTGTGGAGAAAAAGAGGGAAAAAAAGTGATTTCTAGGGCTAAAAGCCAGTGGGGGTTGGCCTGATCTGCAGCCCGGGACCCCAAGAAGGTGTGTGGAGGGAAAGCCTGCCCCGGCAAGTGGGAGAAACCCCCAACGCAGGCTCCAAAAGTGACCGAGTACAGCGAGAAGTGAATCCTAAACAAAACACATCCGCGCACACATACACGCACATACCCCCACGCACGGCATCTACGGACGAACACACGCACGCTCACACGGCGACGACACGGATCACTTAAAATTTAACACACACACCCCCCCCAACACCCTGTGTCTAACACCGAGCAAATGCCACAAAGAAATACAGTATTTCCACAGATAAAAATAAAGGTGTCATCCCTCCTCCTCCTCCTCCTCTTTGCTGGATCCCCAGGACAGCTGGACCCCCTGGGGCTGGGGGGAGACAGGGGGATGGCCACCCACCGCACACAAGAAATAAAAAGGTAAAAATATGTCCCAATATACAGTGAGAATTGATCTGTACAGCACTGGGAATGAAAATAGGTCACGGGCCACTTTGGAATACGTTTTGTCATTTAACAGCATTTACAGTGACATTTACAGAATAAATATACAATAGAAATAGAGAATCTCTACGTTATTATTCCATCTCCTCTCTCTGTATATATTTTATATATATATAATATAGCTTTTTTGTTACCTTCTTATTGACTTTGCCTCCTATTGATGCTGCAAGAAGAGGGGAGGAAAGCGAATGCCTCCCTGGCTGGTTTGGGAATGGTGATGGGAGAGACGGAGGGCCGGAGCCTTCCCCCCAGGGTTCGAGGAGCATCATGCCACGGGAGCGGATGGGACTAAGCACTTTGGCTATGGGAGGTTTCCTGCTCCATTAACTCCATGGGAGCTATGGCGGGAATCCGGCCCCCAGACCCAGGGGCATTGGGACGGTGATGTTGGGCAACAATTTGGCTCATCCTCTGTTTTGCTGGTTGGGTGGAGGAAACTGGGGACAGAGGGAGAAATAAGAGGTGGGAGGGAACATCTTGCCTAAGGATGGGGAAATGCCATGGGGTTTGTGCTTCTCCCATTCAGGGACGATGCCATGGGGCTATTTCTGTGTGGCTCGGCACAGGCAGGGGAAGGAGAAAGACAGCAGAGGTGATGGTGAAGGGGGGATTGCCGGAGGAGAAACAAGACCATGGCTGATCCTGACCACACAGGGCTGGTGCTTCTCAGAGCTATCAAACACTGAGCTGCTTTGGTTCAGTCCATGCCTCTGTTTTCCCCCTGGAAAAATGGTTAGTGAAAGGCCTGAGGAATTGTCCAGGAAGAGCATCCAGGTCACCAGCCAAGCCCATGGAGAAGGACTGTAAATAAAGGATCACTACCCACAAGAGAAATGTCATCGTGGGAGACCTCCTGGCCCCAGAGGTGCCAAGAGAAGTCAAGGATGTGGCGAATGGACCAGGTACTTTCTGCCTTCGCCTCCCAGCCAAAAGAATCCAGGTGAAAGAAAACCCATTGACAGGAGAGCGGAGGAGAGAAGGGCTCGTGTGCAAGCATCCACAAACTTGGCCTTCAGACTGGCTTGAAATACCATCATGCATGATCCAAGCCCAGCGGAACCAAGGATGAGGAGCTCCCTCAGCTTTTGGAGGCCATAGCAATGTGCTGAGAGGGAGAGAGGGTGCAAGTGGGCTGCTGCTCCCCTGTCCCCATGGGGAAAGGAGGAAGATGCCACATAATACTGGTACCCTTGACAGAAATGCTTGGCTACATGTAGGATTCAAGGAAACAACCCTCAGTCCCAGCAGGAGAGACTCAGAGCTGGGAGATCCCAACCTTTACTGACAGCCTGAAGAGAAACAACATAAGGTCGCATCAGTCTGGTCCCCAGATAACACGGATGGGCACGAGAGAGGCCCCTGGGCTCTACCAATGGCTCACCAGCCTGGAACAAGGGCTAGCGGGGACACTGGAACCAGGTACTGACTCCCAGTGACTGCTGCTCAGCAGACGCCTGCTGTCCCCAAGAGCTGGTTACCCCCATCCGAAGGCTGCTGAGCCCCTGTGGAGCTGCAACAGGAGGCAAAGCAGACCCCCTGGCTCAAAGCTATGAGAAATGAGGACGCATGTCCAGAGATAATCACTGTCCAGCTCACCTCAGCTGGTGGGTGCAAGGGAGGTAAGTCGGGGGTGGTTTCCTGAGAGCTAAACCAGGACTGTGGTAGGACTGGATGCCCCACAGCTTCTCTGCTTGTCCCTCTGGGACATCTAAAGAGAGCAGCAAGAGGAGACGATTACCATGCCAGGGATTTTGGTTCAGCAGAGCATCCCACATGTCAGGAGTAATTCCAGGAGAGCACTCCTGAACCCCATCACGGTAACCCTATCCAGACCCCACACAGGCTCACACATCCAAATCACCCTCACTTCAGAGGTCCTTCTGCCACTCAGCATGATAACTGCCTAACCACGGAGCATGCCGACCACTTCATCCCATGGGCGCGACATCTCCGTGTCTCCGAACAACCCACAGACGCTGTCCCCATGCTAGCAGTAACAAAACAGATGCCAAGGATCCACCATCCACTGTCTCACGCATTGCAATGCCTCAGCCAGCCCCGCACTGCTCCCTGCCAACCCTGGTCAAAATTTGGGGGTTATTTGGGTGTGTCCACAGCTATAAAAACCTACAGGAGATACAACAACGACGACGATGGTGACAACAGCAGCACCTTTTTGTGCTATGAACATCAATGGTTAATTGTGCTCGTTGGAATAAGGCCATGACTCCTCCCGGCTAAAGGACAACAGACTGGGAGGGAAGAGCGCTGGGTTACAGATGGAAGCGTGGCTGGCTTTCCACCTGATACCAGGTCCTTTTTCCAACCATCAGCTGCTTAGAAAAGAGAGATTCTTTGCTTCAGATTTGAGCTGTGCGAGAACAACTCTTGGAAAGATATAGCAGCTTCCTCCTCCCTTCCCCGAAGGCAACCCCGGGGGATCCTGCCTTTCAGCCGAGGGTTGTCAGAGGAGTCCTGCCCCTCCTGCAATCCCTTCTTCCCGATGTCATCTTAGAAATGGCTGCTTTTGGTTACGATTTTAAGAGGGGTTTCTTCTTCATCTTCCTTATTAATTAATTTTCCTGTTGCCTGGACAGCCAGGATCCACTCCCCAGTGACCTCCTCTCCCGGTGGGGGTGGTCGGCAGGCAACCATCACAGTTCGGATTCAGGGGTGCTGGCCAGTAGGTACCCACTCCCATATCGTCCGTTGGGGGCACTGCTCATTTCCATGGGGGAGTTGCTCCCGGGACCCAGGTAGGAACGGTGTGTGGGCATGGGGGACGGGGTCTCGCTGGGTACTTTGCTCAGGATGAAGCGGGTCTCATCGTTGTCTTCCAAATTGGAGATGTCCTTCATCATCCGGCCCTTCTTATAGGTGACAGAGAGGGCGTTGGAGCCATCCGACACGAGATGGAACTGCCGGAGGATGAAGACCAGAGGCAGAGGGAGGGATGCCAGGATGATCAGAGAGATGAGGATAGCCATGGCCCAGGTTGGGTAGAAAAGGAACTTTTCTGCAGCCTGGAAGAGACAGATATTAGTGTCAAGGGGCTGTTACAGCAAAGGTGATGCACACCAGGTACGTCTGCGAAGTGCCAGGTAATTCCTGCTGCCTCCTGCCAGACTTCATCCTCAGGGGCACCACGTGGAGCTATCAGAAGGTGGGTTCAAATCAAGGAAAAGGACATGGTCCAGCACACAGCATGTAGCTGTGGAAGCAAACCAAAATCCAAGCTCAAACTTCAGCCCATGGTCAGAGCTGGCTGGAGACTTCTGGGCAGTGTGGACAAACCTGATTGCTTGCAGAGGATGAGCGGCCACAGGCAGGACGTCTCCCAGCAGGAGAGGGGAGGAGAAACAAGCAGAGCTGTGAAGAGCGGGGTGGTTTGCAGCTCTCAGCTGCCCCCTGCTCAGCCTGGACCTGGGGTGGAGGTGGCTGTGGGGAAGGGAGCTGTGCTCACCTCCTCTCTGATCCATGCACTGTAGCCTGGGGGGCTGACTCCCAGCTGGATGATGCTGGCGGTCATGAGCACGGCCATGCAGATGGGAGACACGTACTTCCAGGTGTAGTAGTAGAATTGATAGGGCCGGAAACCCAGCATTTCTGTCAGCTCCTGCATGAACCTGCCAAGAAGAGATGGAACCATGCCATTCCCCACCTTCAAGTGAGAAACTCTCTCCCCAGGGGCCCCCATTTTAAATTATGCTCAAAGTAGAGCCTGAAGAACCACCCAGCTGATCCAGGCAAGTATCTTAGTGTCCCCTTAAGCCTGTAGGACTGGTTGGGAACCTCCTAAGGAAAAGGCCATTCGAGTGTTAGCCAGAGCCTCCTTTGCTCTGGCCAACTTACGAACAACAAGAACAGGCGCTGGGGGGAATAATGTCCCCTGCCAGAAGGGCCCAGAAACCTGAGACAAAAGCGTAATCAGAAGTGACAGAGCACCACAACCAACAGTAGATACCCGCTAGAAGGACCTGCTCCTGGGGCTGGGTTACACCTAGTATAGGGCAAGAGGATCAAGGTGAACTGAGTTCCTGCCTCTATAAGGTAGCTGTCCCTGGGGCATTTGCTCCATCAGAGCTGGCCTCCTGAGGAAAAAGTCATATGGAAAAGAACTGGAAGGAGGGGTGGGGAGGCTAGCCAGGAGTTACAGCACAGTTATTCTTTTTGTCATACAAACGCCTTACTTCTTGGTGCCATAAATCCAGGCCACAGCGATGTTCTCCAGGATGACCACAACCGTGAGTGGCAGCGTGGCTGAATAATCGTCAAACATGGTGACAAAGTAATTCCCAGAGCGCTGCACAAAGATCAGTCCCACCACGAAGGCGAAGATGCAGGAACCAACTGTGGGGAGCAAACGAGCATGGTCAGCAGAGCACCCCAAGGGCAACTAAGGCCTCCACCACAAGGTCCCTTCCCTGCATTAGCAGGGCCCAGTACACATCCACTATGTCCACATTCTTCTGGAGTGACTCCCCAGGGCAACAGGGACCCTCCACCCCTTCCCCAGGAGGTTGCAGGAGAAAAGACCTCACCTGTGAACACTTCCTTCCGCACCTTGAAGGTGTCGATGATGGGCGTAGTGATCCCTGACATGGTCCCGATCATGCTCCCCAACCCCAGGTTTATCAGCATCAGGAAGAACATGACAGACCAAAATGGTGAGGCTGGGAAGTGGGTCATGGCTTCTGTGAAGGCAATGAAGGCCAGGCCAGTTCCTTGCACCGACTGTTCAGGGGGAGAGAGGACCAAAAGATGAGAAGAAACATGTCAGGGACACAGCCTGCAAACCCCTGCATGCCTCAGGTCTCTCTCACTGAACCACTCTTCAAGGAAAGAAAAATCCAGTCTGGTACACCAGCCTGGAAGCAGTGATGACCCTGCTAGACTTGCTATGGTGAGACCTTTCCCTCACCCCAGGAAGGACCATTGTGTGCTGGGGAAGACCACAGGGACAGAGAATCCCCATCCCCAGAGGGCCTCTAAAAATAGATTTTCCAGATCCACGTGCCAGGTGTAACACAAGTAGAGCAGCTCCTACCAGGGAGAGGCAATGGGGTAGGTGACCTCCTGGTCCTAGTAGGAGTGCCACCAGGTACCTTGTCGAGTTCATCCTCCAACAGGCAGGCATCCAAGCCCAGTTCTTTGAAGTGCCCCTCTTTCACTGTCATGATCACCCTGTACATCTCATTGTAGTCCTTGGCAGTGAGGTGGGAGAAGTTCACGTGGGGTGGGATGAGGTCATGGCTCAGCACGTTGGTGTTCAGGTAGCCCAAGATCTTCTCAGCATTCCTAAGGGAGAGCAGAGCCTCATCACCCAGAGATGTCCCCTTCCTCCCAGGGTGGAGGAAGGGGCCTGACCATGGAAACCCTTTGCATCAGGCAGGATGAACCTCCCTGGGTCATGTTACCCAGGTCCCAGTCAGAGAACCTCTTTGCAATTTCCTAAGGTGTAAACATTGCGTTAGGCCACATGACAGAGGATGCAAATGGGGGCCCACCAGGGAATGGGCCCTCTGCACCTCCTTCTCAGGCTTACCTCCTGCTCTGGGACTCCACAGTGTGTGGCCAGGATTTTTATGGATGCAGCTCACTGTCTAAAGATAACACTGGGTGCATAAATTCACCTTCCTCCAGCTGCTTCTGGTGTACAGCACAGCAGTTCCCTTAACCTTGCAGACAAGTGGACCCTACGATGAGTAGAAACTGGGGGAAACCCAGGTGATGTGACTAGGCGTGTTGGATTCACCCTCAGTTTGCAGAATAAGTGCTCATCTTGGGGCTGGATTTTAGGTTGGAGGAGCTGAATACCGAACTGCCTCAGCTGCAGTGGGACATCTCTGGAGATCCAGGACTTGACCATCAGGAACTTGGGTCCACCAAAACACGGTATCACCCAGCTCCAGAGCACTTCCTCTGTTGCCTCCAGATCCACCACAACCAGCAGTAGCAAAGACCTGCCCACCCCAAACAGAGAAAAAGCAAACCCTCTTACTCCACCACACATTTCTCATTCATGATGTTGGCCTTGAAGCCCAGGACAGCAAATACAACCAGCGTGGCCAGGACGGATGTGAAGAAGTTGATGAAGGAGACAAGCGTGGCGTCAAAGTGGCAGTTGTTGTCCTGCTTGTTGTAGCTGGAGAAGGCAATGACCCCCCCGAAGCCCAGGCCCAAGGCGAAGAAAACCTGCGTAGCTGCCTCCCGCCACACCTGGGGGTCCAGCATCTTGTCCAGCTTGGAGGGGAGACACAAGAAAAAGTTAGGTGGTGTGGTGGCCCCACAACTCATCACAGTGGAGCCAGAGCTAAATTAAAAGGCTTCTGTACCTACAACCTGGGCTGGTTTTGGAGCAGCCATGGGCATGCTTTGATCTACCACAATCAGGTCTTGCATTACCAAACATTCAGAGGTCCTTTTTCTCTTTCCCACAGAAGGGGAAACTGAGGCATGGAGAAGGGCAGGTCAAGGTGCTCCATGTGCCCCAGATCCCAAGCTGGACGCCCAATCTCCCAGTGCAAAGCCCTACAGCTTCCCAGTGGACCACCCAGCTGCCCTGGGGAGCTGGCATCCCCATCCCCTCACCCATGTGCTGTCCAGCCATGGGTCTCCATCCTCCCCTGGCCATCTCCTGCCTCCAGAGCACCTGGAGCACTTGAAATCAAACACCTCAGCTGGTGGGTTTGTTTGACCTCCCATCCCCCCAACCACATCCCCCCTTCTCCTGCAAGCCAGAGCTGCAGGCTGGAGGCCTCCGAGTGTCATTCATCAAGAGATCATAATTAATATCTCCTAACAGCCTCGCCGGCTGAGCTGATTCATCTACATCTCTGCTTAATTAATTAATTAGCTGGTTAATTAATGGATGCATACCACCAGCAGAGGTTTTGCTGCCAGCCAGCATTTTCCTATGAAGTCTTTAAATATATTGCCTCGGGCACCCCCACCCCCCTACCCTGGTGTCTGGGCACCTAAAGGTGACGGGAATGATGCTAAGGCTCAAAGCAGCTCCAGGGTGGTGAGTATGCGAGGCTTGTGGCTGTCCTGGCCATACCCTGTATTTAAGGTACTGCTGGCACATCCTGATGATATATCAGGAACTCCAAGGTAGTTTGGGGTGGTACTTTGGGTTTTGGGGTGGGGAGCATAAGGGAAAATAGGGTGCGACCTGCCAGGAGGAGAACCTGCTTGGAGTGTGCTGGGCTTGGAGACTCTTACCTTGGGTGTGAACATGTGCATGATCCCATCTACTGCCCCACGCAGCAGAAGTCCCCGCACCAAGAAGCAAACCAGCACCACGTAGGGGAAGAGCGAGCTGAAGTACATCACCTAGAGTAAGAGGGATGCAACGTGGGCACAATCTCATTAACTGCTTGTGAGTTCAGCCACTTCCCCATCCAATCCGAGGATAGCTCAACAGGGGTGAGAAGGGAGGGTTATCCTCCCCAAAATGAGGTCTGCTCTGCAGGCAGGTCAGGGTTTAGCTGTGGGACCTCCTCAGTGCAGGATGTTACAAGTGCTGAAGCTTAGGTGGATTTGCAGAGTGCTTGGACACGCTTAGAGAGAAAATCTGTTGGCGTGGCTGAATGTGAAGATGCCAGTGTTGGCTTACAAAATCCCTGAAACACAAACTGCTGGTCCCCGGGGAACCTGAGGGAAGGACAGCTCTGCACACACACACCCACACCCCCTTTCCCCAGCATCTGCCTAGGGCTGCAGGCAGCCCCAGCTGGTGACTGGCATGGGACACATTTTCAGTGCCCTGATGAGCAGATGCAGATAGGACTTCATCCTGGGCAGGGGAGACCTGCTGCTGTGGTCCTGCTTCGGCAGCTCACTCCCACCCCTCTGCTCTCAGGGCTGTGGGACAGGGGTCTCATTGCCCTCTGCTACCTGCTAATGCACCAGATGTTTTGCAGAGCACATCTGGAGACAGGGATGTTAAAGTGTCCTGGGAGAACATACCCTTCTGCATCTGACCCCACTGCTTACACAGCCTTGCTTGAAATATCAACGGCCTCTGCAAGCTAATGACATCTCTCTCCCAAAGCTTTCTGTTCCTCCCTGCCCGGCTTCTCCTGCGCAGTCCCAGTGTTCCCGCTGTGAAGGAGGACTGAGTGCTCACCCCTACACCCTACAAGCATCCATCAGGATGGCATCAGGGGATCGGACAGTTGGCATCCCCCCAAATGCAGGGGCTGAGCAGGCAATTTGGCTAGCCCTGTGCCTGAGCCCTGGGCCATGGCTGCAGGGGTCAGCTGGACTAAACCTCTTCCCTACATCCTCTTTTGATCTTATTCTGGATCCCAGGGGACACAGTATCTTCCAGCCACCCCGGATCAGGGCAGGAGAGCGTGGTTCAGGCAGGGGGTTTCTACCTCAAGGACAGACCCCAGCCAGGCTCAGGTGGCCACCGATACCCACCTTCCCCGAGGACTGGATGCCTTTGATCATGGCCAAGCCAACAAGGCTCCAGGCCACCAGCAGACACAGGGTCATCTTCCAGTTGAGCCCCCCACTCTCTGAGATGGAGTTGGAGATGTCTAGGGTCTCCCGGTACCAGAAGTAGGTGGTGGCCGAGCTCCTTTCGCATTCGGTCTCCACAACTGCAACCGAACAGAGGCAGGAGAGCATGAGGGGGCTGGGGGAGAGTCACCCACCATCTCTTGGGGGATTAACAATGTCAAAGACCTGCCAGAGCCAGCCAGGAAAGGCAGGCATCCCTGGAAACTAAGGGACAGGAGTTAATGGGGCTCATTTTTAGCAGGAAAAAGAAGAGACAGGACATAAAGCCATTGTCAGGTGAAAATAAGACATTAAATACAGGGAGAGACATTTGCATTTGCTATAAAACCTCCCAGAGTGTCCCAAAGAGATGCTCAGATGCCATTAAACACCATTAGCTCCATCAGCATCTCAGCTGGGCACCGAGGGAGCCGCCAGGTGAGCCCTGCCTGGCTCTCGTTGCCTCCCTCCATGGTCCTGGGTCAGATCCTGGCCCTGAGCACCAAGGCAGCCTGGAGACCCAAGCTCTGGATCCTCAAACTGGCATCAAATCCCATCAGTGGGGACAGACCCCGAGAGGAGAGCATGGGAGAGACTCATCCAACCCAAGGGAAACATTTCCATATCATCAAGGCAGCTGGACTGGAGAGGACCTGGTGCCCCAGGAGACACCCCAACCTGCAGTGTCCCCAACTGAGCCTCCCCCCATGCCAGCGGCCATCCCTTACCGGCCACCGAGCCATTTTTCACGATGGGGCACTCGCTCCAGGGAAGAGGGTACTGGAAGGACTTAAAGAAGTAAAAGATGCTCCAGCCGATGATGACGTTGTAATAGAGACCAACAAAAAAACAGACCTGGGGGGAGGAAGGAGGACACGGTATTAAATCACAGGGCAGTGACACTGTCCCCAACACACCTTCCGCTGGGTAGGGAGCCGGGGGGAGCAAGGATGCTGAGATCAGGGGATGGGCCTGTTCCCACCTGGCCCTAGACCCAGGGGTGGAGCTGGAAAAACTCCCCTTGACCTCCCAAACTTCCACGCGGGGCCCCTCAATGTTTACTTCCAGGCCATCCCCACCTTTGCAGCTTGCAAAGCCATCCCATGCACCCCGAGGGGACCCACGGGTGCACTCACGAGGCAGCTGGCATAGCCGATGCCCCCCAGGCGAGGACAGATGTAATTCCAGACGCCGATGCTGCCCCGGCGGATCCGCTGCCCCACCGCCAGCTCCAGGAAGAAGAGGGGGAGCCCGATGATGATGAGCAGGACCAGGTATGGGACCAGGTAGGCACCTGGCAGGGGAGAGAAAGCTCATCATGGACCTGTCTCTGCCTGCTCTCATGCAGCCAAGGATGAACGGACAGGGACGGACAGGCAGGGCAGAGCTGGGACAGGCTCTGCCTGGTCCATCAATTCATTTGCAATGGATCTGGGAGTGCAGATTGGTGCTCAGGCAGCAGAGAAGACAGCCGTGGAGAGGAGCAAACCACGCGTGTGTGGAAGGAAAGGGTGCAACATCCCCTGCCAGTGTGGGTACATGTGAGATAGACCCCAACGCACCTAAAGACATGCTGCATCCCTGCAGGCGCATCGCCCCACTCACAAGGAGACACCCCAGTAAGCCAACCCATGGGGACACCCACACATTCCCAGCCATCTCGGACACACAGGCAGGCAGGACATCTCCTGTTCACCCAGGTCCTGCCTGCACACGCATGTCTGAGCACAGCCGAGCCCCCTGCACCAACACGCACCCCCCCGCAGACACCCCACGTCACCGGCAGCAGCGTTCACCACACCACGTGCCGCCCGGTGCGGAGCGAGGTCCTCTGGTAGGGGTAGAAACAGCTCAAATTAGAAACCCAGTTAATCTCTGCCTAATTGAGGAGGCCAGAGAGAAATTAGGAGTTCCTGAAGCATAACCAACTGACCGTAAAGGATGCGATGACTCACGCTGCAGCGCCCAGCTGATGAATTACTCCAACCTTCTGCCAGGGGCTGAGGAACGGGCTCCGGAGCATAAGGCTCACTCCCGCCGGGCGGCAGGCGATCCAAAGGCACACGCTGGAGCCTGGTTGCGTTGGGCAAATTCCTGGCTGGATTTATGCCCCGGTGACAGCCACCACCCCCTGGCCCCAGGTGGGACCTGTGGCAGCTGATGCTGCTTCGAGCAGCGGCGCTGCAAAGCAGTTCAGCCTGCAATAGTGTCCTGAGCTGAGCACCCTGGCAGCGGGTTGGGGATTGATGTGTTAGAAATGCAGGTGGGGACATAAATTAAGACGCAAGAGGTCCAGGGTGATTAGGTGGATGAAAGGAGAAGGCAGAGAGCAGGGCAGAGCTGGAGCCCCGTGTAATTTGGGAAGGACCACGAGCATCCCATCTCTGCAACGCCCTCCTGGGCGCCCACATCTCAACCTGTGGATGGACGGAGATGAGACAGATGGACAGATTCAGATGCAGATTTGTCCAATATTGGAGATTTTCTTCCTGTGATCTCTGGAAAGATGGGCACCAGCTCATGCCCCATGCATTGCCATGCTCGGCAGCACCACCATAAAAGTACAGCAGGCAGGGCTGCCAGCCCATGCCGGCTCCTGACACACCGAGTCCTGGAAATTTGGCTCCAGCCCATCTTGCTACCAGCATGCAGCCATTCTCCCCCACAGACGCCTACTTGGGGAGCAGGAGAGAAAGCAGTAGCTGCCACCCCATCCCAGGGCTGCTCAGCGCACCCAGAAGTGGTCTGTCCATCACTCCCCAGCTCCTGCATCCATCTGTCTGGCACCAGCCTCGCAGCCTGGTGGGAATCCCAGCCAGGGGCCAGGAGGTTAAATGCGGTGGGAAGAAAAGGCAGAAAATCAGTGTCTGCCTCATGGGACAGGGGACATGATGCCACTTGGCCAAAAGAAAAAGTGCAGGAAAGCTCAGCAATCTGCTGCTCAAGCCAGTTCCCAGCTCCGTGCCTCAGTTTCCCCATCTGTAAAATAGGGGCAATGGTTGGGGCAGCTTGTAAACCTTTTTTGACACCTGCTGCAGGAAGATGTTCTACAACAGCAAGGAGCTCCTATAGCCAGCTGCTTGTCTCAGTCCCTGCCTGGCTCTGTGCCTGCGTCCTGCCACAGGATGGGGCCGAGTTGCCTCGTTCAAACCCAGCACACCCGTCTCCTCTGCTACAGTGGGTCTCAGGGCTGTTGTAGGTTGAATTTCTCATCCCCACTTCACATCCCATCTAGCCTTTTGTCTAAAAATACTTGCTTAATGCTCTGCACATGCAGACAGCAAATTCAGCCCTGGATTTGCCAGGGAATACACCAGGATGAATCCCAGCCTGGGAACACGAACTGCTCCTCCTGTTACCCAGCACCTGGGACAGCCAAGGGAATGCAAACATACAGGATAGCAGAGACCTCAGCATAAACTGAGACATTTTCATTCATTGAACTAATTACCGTTAGTTATTGACTCTTGTGCCAGTGGGGAAACTGAGGCACAGCTGGGTTAAGTGCTTGCAGAGAAGCGGAATTCTGCATCTCCAGCCTCTGCGTCTGAGCTGGTTCCCAATCTCATTTAATTGGGAAAACCTGCTTGGAAGTCAGAGGCCAGATGCGGAGAGCTGTGTAATGAAGCCAGCAGGGGTGTATCAATCTATCCCAGCCCTGAATTTACCCCAGGCTCTGCCTCCAACCTCCTTCAGGCCATGCATACAACCCTCCCCACTGCATCTGATGCACATGTGCACCGGCACGTGCAACGCAGCTAACGCAGGCGTTCGAGTCCCGCAACGCCTGCAGATGCTCGCTGCAACCCAAGACCACGCTGAGACACCCCACCCCCATCAGCTTTGCTAACGTGGCGGACACACCGTGCAAAGCCGTGCTGTGCCAAAACCGAGCTGAGCCTGGACCCAAACTAGGGCACCGGGAGCTAAGTGTGCCAGCAGCCGGGGAGATGCTGGGATGCACGAGCCGGCCGCAGTGTGCTCCATCCCAGCTGGGAAGGGAAGGCGATGGGGGTGCGAGCAGCCCTGGGGTGGGAAGTGCTGACTGCACAGGTCTTCGTTTGGGGAGAATGACTCATCGTGAAGATGACACCAGAGATGTTTTAATTATTGAGAGCGCTGCACGTTTGCCAGCTCCCGGGCTGGGGGCACGCCGAATGATGCAGCTCCGGGAACAAGGCGAGTGCAAGGGGGGAGAGGGGAAAGTTGGGCTGATCCTGGCTTCCTTCAACGCTGCTCAGCGGGGGCTGTTTCCCATCACTGCAAAGGTCAGTGCTGTGGGGGAGAGGCCTCGAAGGCTGGGTTTGAATTAATGCTGAGCAAACCGCCCTCTCATCAGTGTCATGAAGGGTGTCTGGTCTCAGCACAGCTGGAAGAGACCTGGCCCTCTGGGCTGCTCCTGGAAAATCAAGGAGTGGACTTGGGGTGGGATGGGAGGACAGGCTGGCTGGCAGGAGGATTTGGGAAGGGGCTGGAGCCTACACAACAGGGCTTCGAGACCTAGGGAAAATGGAGGAACTTTCTCTTCTTTTTTCATGCCCTAGTTTCCAAATTGCCCCAACAGGAATTGGGGGGCTGCAGCAAAAAATCCTGGCTCTCAGCCTGGGATTCGCCTTGACTTTGGAGTGGGTGGGTGGACACCCTTTAGGAAGAGGCCGTCCTGGAGGTTCCCACATCTCTGAACTGATGAAGGCACAGTGATGAGCAGCTCCTGACCACCCCTTTCCTCCTTCAGAGCCCAAATAACCCACTTTAAAGCCTAAATAACCCCCATCCTGCCCCAAGATGCACCCCTCGACATGCAGCAAGGCAGGATTGGGCCATACTCCCTCCCCTAAGGGCTGAGCCCATCCCTGCCCCATCTCTCACCTCCTCCATTCTTCTGGCAGAGGTAGGGGAAGCGCCAGACATTGCCCAGCCCCACGGAGTAGCCGATCTGCGCCAGGATGTACTGCAGCTTGCTGTTCCACGCCGGCCGGTTCTCCGCATCCAGCTCCTCATCTCCATCCTTCTGCTTGTCCCAGGTCTCCCCCGTCACATTGAGGACGCTGCGTTTGTAGTCCACGGGCTCTTCATGAGCCAGCAGGTCAGCCACTGACTCGGTGACATGCTCGCTGCTGTGCTCCCGCTGCGTCACCTTGCTGTTCTTCGGCATCAGGATGGCTCCACGTGGCCCCAGGGGGCGGGATGGGGCGAGGGGAGAAGATGAGCGTCCCGCAGGGAACGGCACCCGTGTGAGCTACAGCTCAGACCTCACCTCCTCTTCATCAGCAGGACCTGGGCAGGGGAAGAGGTCAACAGAGGGTGAGTTGGTTTTGCCTTACCCCCAGCGTGTCCTGGTGCTAGTGGGACCAGCAGCACCAGGGGGAGAAGGGTCTCCACCACCCCATGCCTCGGAGACCTCCTTCTGGACTGAGGAATGCTAAGGGCCCCCTTCTCCATGAGTGATGGACCGGGAGCAACCCCTTGGATCAGCCTTCATGGAGAAGAGCCTCCCGCCACCCACAAGAGGGAATTTCCCTGGGCTGCAGGGGACAGTGACAAGCGATGGAGCCAGTCACATCGCCGTGACACCTCTTTTCCCCTCTAACAACCCTGGGCCAGCAGCTGATCCCCCACGAGGGCTGGCGCCACATCCAGCGCTGGCCGGGGTTCTGCCCTCCCTGCCCCGCTCCCTCCCCTCCTGACCCATCGGCAGAGCCTGGTCTCAGCCCCACAACAGCTTGAAAGCACTCAGGGGACAGTGACAAACGCCCAGGCTATCTCTCCATCCCTGGACATTATCAGGAGCAACTTAAAAGCCTGGAAGCCTGCAGCTAAATCTTCCCAGGCAGCTTTACAACAGATAACGGCTGCAAAACAGCGGCAGCCGAGGCAAAGCCATCAATCATCCCAGTCTCTCCACCTTCCCAGCCTTCATCGCAGGCCAGACTTGGCCAGGGAGAGCCATACCAGTCCCACAGCATCCATGCGGTTACACCAGTTAACACGAGTTTGCCCTCACCGCCTCATTCCCAAAACCAATGGCACCAGATCCCACAGGTGCGGGGCCGGAATAAGCGCAAGCAGGGTAATTTTTGGACCCACGGAGGGAGCGTGGGTGGGAGCATGGGTTTGCCGCCAGCGCAGTGATGAGTAGATGTGTGTGGTGGGTCGTGTTTACAAACAGGCAGCTGTGTGTTTGCACCAGGGACTCCTCCAGCTGCGGGAGCAATCCTGCACAGAGGGATTTCAGGGGGTGCCCACAATTCGGCTCAGCCCTGCAGAGCTCACCCCTGCCTCAAAATGCTTGGGGATATCAGGGAAATCCGCTCTGCTGGGCTGGGGATCCCCAACTGGGAAAGCACCACATCCCTCCTCTCCATACTGGGAGAACTGGGGTCAGACTGGCAGCTCCCACCCCAGCTGGGACCATGGTACTTCACCAGCTGGGGAGAAAACACAGAAACCCCACATCTTGGAAAAATGACTCTCCCAAAGGGCCACACTTGCTTCTTTTCTCTGCGCTCCATCCCTGCTTTCCAGGGGACACCAGGCTGGTCACTGACCCCTGGAAGAGCGATGGTGCCGTGCTCAGGGACCTGTCCTACCCCGGCTGGGCTGCAGCATTATCTCACCCTCGCCCTGGGGGCTTTCTCCTTCAGTCCAAAGCTCATACAAGACCCAGTAGCAGCTCACAGGTGACATTGCACAAACAACCCATCAGCGCAGTCCTTGGGACAGCCGACCCTCAGCACGGGCAGCCGGTCTCTGCCGGGATGGATGATGCAGGATGGACCTCCTGGAGAGCCAAAGGAAAACTCTCCCATGATTTTCCAGAGCCATCCCCAGCTCTTCTTTCCTTTGGACAAACATCCATCTTGACCCAATTCAGCTCACAATCCCAAACCCTTTCACAGCAGCAGGTTCAACCCAGGCAGCAAAGCCCATCCCCACCCAGCGCACTGAGGTCCCAACCCGGCACGGGAGGGAAGCAAAGCATTGGCAGCAGGAAACCTCACCTTCCCTCACCCTCACCTTGGTGTTTTTTCACCCCTGAAGAAAGTTCCCCCTTTGCCAGGCCCCGTTCCTATTAGAAAAGCTATTTTCAGCTGTCGGCTGCATCCGTTGCCAGGCAACTGTGTCGGCTCCACATCTTTCCTGGATCCGGCTCCTCTGGAGAAGCCGTTTGAATTATTCTTTCAAGCCTGGCCCAGCAATGTTTAATTTCCTAACGAGGGCTCATTCACGTAAACCGCTTACGGCTGAATCGTGGCAATTACCAGTACATGGCTGCTGGGGGCTGGAGTATCCTCAGCCGGGGTGGGCACAGGCACAGAGGGTGGGGAAGGGCCTCATCCAGCAGCCAGGAAATCACTGGGATTTCCATCGATTTTGAATCAGGTTCTGTTTAGATTAGTGCAGACCTGGTTGCACCCGCGAGTTGTTTGCTGCTCCCTGTCCGCTCAGCAGCCACTTAAGCTCCTTCTGGGCAAGGGTGACTCAGACCTTCAGGAGGACACAGCCCCAGGGGCTAAAGTCTCTCTTTATATTACAGATAGAGCCTAGAAGACCTAAGATCTGCTGGCCAAGCCCCTAGAGCTCAGTGCCCCATGGCAAGGGCACCCAAACTGGTCTCCTGGGACAGCTAAAACCCTTGGACCAAAGCCTGGGAGGTGCCCAGCTCCAGGGAAGGTGGTGTTGAGCCAGGCCAGCACGATGGAGTCAGGACAGACCCCACAGCATCTCTTGCTGGATCTCTGCCTCTCCCCCTCCTCAGTTCAGGTCCCCCCCCCTCCCCAGCATCATCCTTAGGAGCTGAGAGGCAGCAGGACACAGCGGTCCTTGAGGAGCAGGTTTCTTCAAGCACCCCCAAAGCCCCAGAGGCTCTCAGCACCTTGGAGGACACTTGAGACAGCAACATTCCCAAAGGATTTGGGCAGCAAAAGGGGTGCTTGGCTGCTTGGCTGGGGCAAGGGCTCTCTAGGCATTGGGATGAGATGACACTGGAGGATGAGCTGAGGGTGAAGGAGCAGACGTACAAGTCTTCCTCCCATGGGAGATGCACCCCAGTTGAACTAGAACAGGGGAAAACCATGGTAGACATCCACATCTTGATCCTGGCATGGCTCTGTCACTGTGTCCCCATGGCTTGCTTGGGGACATCCTGCTGTCTCCCAAATGGCTCAGCCCCAGCCTGGTGATGGTGGTGTTACCCAGAGGAGGTCCAGGCCTGAAGAAGAGAAGTCCATTCCTGACAGCAATGCCGTGAGCATACCCAAACTTTGCCGTCCACATACCCAACCTTTGCCGTCCACATCCTGCCGGTACCATGAGATGAGCCCAGCCAGAACCAGCACAAAGCCACCGACCCACATGGCACAGGGACCCAATCCAGGGAACAGTGAGGTCGACGGGGCTCTTCCTATTAATTTCCCCAGCATTTTGCATCAGCCCCAAGGTCCGCACCCCTCAAATTGAAAAGCACAGTCCAAATCCATCTGAGAAAGGTATTTGCACTCATTTCTTTGATTGAAAAGGGAATTTAATCAAAAATTCATCTGCCATAAATAATAACAACCCTGTGAGAAAGATGAGGCAGATCAGCTGACAACCAGGAGCTTTCTGGGCTGGAGAGAGATAGAAAACCCTTGCCACTGACAGATGGAGATTCAGCTTGTTTACTTAGCCCTCATGACCTTAATTTTCTTAAATGTGCATTTTTTTCTTTCTCTTTAGAAGACAGATTAGGGTCTTTCAGAGCCCATGGCTTGTAATAACCTCACTTGCGCTGCCGGACCAGGGGTCCCTTTGCACCCACTGCTTTGCCCAGGTAAAACTAGTGCTGAGGCCACCCATGCAGATGCTTGGAGAGGCACCATAGCTTTTCCCACGACAGGACCAGGGAAAGGACCAGTTTGTGCTGGGGTCGGTGCTGGCATCTCTAGACATCACTTGAGAGCAGCCAACAACATCCTGGAGGGTGTTACAAAGGGAGGTGTTGGGGAAAGCATCACTGGGTTGTCCCTGGGGATAACTTGCCTCCTGCATCTCCCACCACTCCATGTCCCTAGGTATCTCCTTGAAGGAGATTCCCACTTTCGTAGTCCCCAGTGGGTGCCTCCACATCCAACCCTTTGCCCCCATGCAAAGCAACCACAATCCCCTGCACCCTGTTCCCACACCAGACTCACTGGCTGAGCCCAGGGCTCCTGCTTGCAAAGTGACAATCCCCATCCATGTCCCCCTTGTCCAGGTGACACACGGGTGGCCTCAACCACTGTACCCCTTTGCACTGACAGCTCAGGAGCCACCGCTGCAGCAGGTCAAAGGCACATGGCAATGGTCTGCCGTGGTACAAGCTGGATTCCCCCCACTCAGGGAAGGGGCAGAGATAGAGAAGCTCCTGCTTTGCTACACCCAGGGGGTTTAATTCCTGCCCAGAGGCTCCCATCAATCCCAGCTGGAGACGGAAACACCCACTGGGGAAAAGCTGCTATTTGGGATGAGTGAAGACCTCTGGGAGCCAAGAGCACTGCGTCCTCCAGCCCAGCCCCACCAGCAGCATCATGAATGGTTCAGCAGAGGAGGGATGCTCTGAGCCGTGTGTCCTGCCTCGACCCGTCCTTGCTTTCTCAGGAAGATGGCTAGGGAGCAATAAAGCAGGCTGGAAATGTGTCAGCAAAGCTTTCAGCTAGGCCTGGGAGCACAGAGGCAGGCAGGGAGGAGATGGGGATTTGCAGCAGCCTCTGAGGAGAGCAGCTACCAGCAGCAAAGATGCTCTGGGTCTGAAGGACAGACATTGGAGGAGATTTCTCCTCTCCTGTGTGCAAACTCTACACTTATACCCTGTTTAGGTCCATAAAGGGGAAACCAAGGCAGGAAAAAACACAGCCTGAGATTGGGTGAATTTAAAATTAACATTTAAACCATGGGGACTCTCTGCTGGTCCCTCACTACCCCACCACCTCCCCTCCTTCAGCTGTGAGCCTGCTGTGCTCAGCTTCCAGGCCAATCCCCCCCAGGTCCTAGAGGAGAAGGGAAAGATGCTCCTGGTGAAGCACCAGCTCACTGGGCCTGGGAAGGTCCAGCTTACTCCATCAAGGGCACAGAGGAGCGAGGCAAGAGCAAAGGGACCAAAGACACAGAGGGATTTCAGGAGGTAGAAAGGCCACT